ATTCGCAAATCGCCGCGCCGCGTATCGCGTTCGCGCCGCGCTCACCGGATTGGCTGGCGCGCTTCCGCGTACCGCGACCAACGAATCCAGAGCGACCCGTCGCGTGCTACGCACGCGTTACATTGTACATACAAATCCGTGACCGCATTGTCACTCAAATCATCATCCGCGCGGTATCTTTTCTATGTATATAATTACTTGTTCTGTCATGTGTAAATAGTGCATTTTGTCTATGTCATAATAAAGATAGTTGTTAACTTTTACCGCGCCTGTGCTCATTCTAATCAATCGCCCGCGTAACTGCATCTTGCCTCTCCTGCTCGAACCTCTTTTAAAGCCCCGCGCCGAAAGGCCCCGACGAGCTACGTCCGCGCTTAAAAAGTTAGGTTGTTACAAAATTATTTTTGTTGGATCTTGCTACTAATGCATTAATACAATTTTTGCAACGCAAAGTGTTTCTTAATTGTCTGACAATATCGACCACTCATAGTCAAGCAGTAAGGTAGCCATTTTGAAACTTAAGACTTAAAACTTAAGCCCATGGCACATACAAAAACGTAAGGCCGTAAGACATAATTAGTAAGCGAATTGGCCAATCACGATAGAGACCATAAGGCCAGTAGCGAATCCAATCTTACGATTTCTTTACTGCTTACGTATTACGGCCTTACGTTTTTGTATGTGCCATGGGTTTTAACGTTGAAAAATTTCGTAAAGCCCATGGCACATACAAAAACGTAAGGCCGTAATACGTAAGCAGTAAAGAAATCGTAAGATTGGATTCGCTACTGGCCTTACGGTCTCTATCGTGATTGGCCAATTTGCTTACTGATTATGTCTTACGGCCTTACGTTTTTGTATGCCATGGGCTTTAAGGATGAAATTCCTACGTCTTATGGCTTATGGTCCTTATGGTTAACCAATCACATGCGACCGTCTCCTTCAAATTCCGAGACGCGCACTGGCATATACGTGTTAAAACACGAAAGCACAGTTTATTTTGTGGATTATATATTTCAGTGTTAATTGTCAATAAATAAAGAAAAAATGGATGAACATGAATATTCTTCTCAAGAGCATTCTTCAGTTGATAATTTAAACGAAGATAATCAGTTTGATGACGGGTTTAACCTAGAAAATATTCACAAAGATAATGATGAATTATTAATAGATGCAATAAGAGAATATCCGCATTTACATAATTCATCTCTAAAAGATTATAAAGATGTACAAATGAAAGAAAATTCGTGGAGAGAAATCGCATTGTTAATGGATATACATATGTCAGGTAAGATTTAAAATTATATAATTCTTTATGATGTATTTAATGCAAACACACATACTTGCTACTACTACTACTACTACTACTACTACTGCACACACACACACACACACACACACACACACACACACGCGCGCGCGCGCACAAATATGTAAAAGATAAAATTATTATTATAGTTGCAGATTGTCAAAATCGATGGTTACGTTTACGTGAGCGATTTACCAGAGAAAAACGATTTCGAGAATTAGAAATACGAAGTGGTAGTGGAGCCTCGTCGTACCACATTTACTTTATACAAAAATGTTATTTCTGGAAAGTCATATTAAAAGAAGAAGGTTAGATTAAATTAATTGCAAATACATAATAAGTGAATGCATACAAAATAATAATAATAAATTTTTATTTTCAGATGTTACTCAAATGTGACTAATTTTTATGTGTCATGGTATTTAGTGCGCACTGAGTACGCACTACGCGAGTACGGTCAAATGAACATGTGACACTAGCCAAGTGCGTATTGGCACTGA